CTAGAGAGAATGCAGCTTTAACACATGAAGCTTTGACTTCACTTTAATGAACCGGAGGTTGCCGCCTGGTCGTACCTGGAGCGCCCTGCTGGAAGAGCTTGTTGAGGTCCAGCGAGGAGGCTCTAGAGTGGGTTTTCTGGGGTCGAGGCGGGGGGGTGGGAGGCTCTTCTGCCTTCTTCATGGCATCTTCGATAGAGGTGCTGGAGTAAGACCTGGACCAGAGGTCACATGGGTGAAAAACAAGAGGTTTTAAAGGAGCAACGAGTTCAGAGGACTGGAATAATTCACGGGGGGGGGGGGTCTCACCTCCGTCTAGTTCTCGTCCTCATGTGTGGGTCCAGGTCCTGAGGCGGCTCTGTGAGGACGGCCATGAGACATGAACACATCACACACTTTAGGATCCGTTTGAACGGCTACAAATGAGAAGCAACTACTTTACATCACGTGTGTGAAGACGCATCACATCACAGACATCACATCACAGACATCGCATCACAGACATCGCATCACAGACATCACATCACAGACATCACAGACATCACATCACAGACATCACATCACAGACATCACATCGCATCACATCACAGACATCACAGACATCGCATCACAGACATCGCATCACAGACATCACATCGCATCACATCACATCACAAACATCACAGACATCACATCACAGACATCACATCGCATCACATCACAGACATCACAGACATCACATCACAGACATCACATCACATCACAAACATCACATCACAGACATCACATCACATCACAGACATCACATCACATCACAAACATCACATCACAGACATCACATCACATCACAGACATCACATCACAGACATCACATCACAGACATCACAGACATCACATCACAGACATCACATCACAGACATCACAGACATCACATCACATCGCATCACATCACAGACATCACATCACAGACATCACATCACATCACAGACATCACAGACATCACAGACATCACATCACAGACATCACAGACATCACAGACATCACAGACATCACATCACAGACATCACATCACAGA